ACGCATCGCCACCGAATCAAAGGGACACGTCAGAGCAACTGTCTTTGTTTGCTCCTCTTCCTCATTGTGTTTATTTAGGTCGGAATCATTTTCGACAAAATTCGACAAGCCTTACCCAGCATCCACCATGAGCAGAGCCAGGTCACAGATGCGGCGTAAAGCTGATTGGACACAGTTTCTGGACTCAGAATCTTGTATCGCCTTGCAGGACTGGCAAAATGTTTCCGTACCCTGTTCGGCCTTTCTGGGCTACAGCGTCCTCTTAATTTGGCTCGATGCTCCAGAAGCCTGTCGAAAGTGACTGTCAGTACTGTAGGATGGACAACAATCCCTAAGAAACCTGCCTGATCCTTCCACCTACCTACGTGTTCTGTCTGCACTGTCCCTTATTGCACTGACCTCCTTTCCATTGCAGTAATTTATGGACACGTCGGCCTCCGTAATCCAGGGACAGAATGGGCACAGGAAACGGTGTCCGGAGTGGAGCCGGAAGACTGGTGCCTGTTTTTTGAAGCCAGACTCAGAGGTGAATCAAGCATGAAGTCTTGGCGGTGCGACTCGATCTCTACGACTCTCAGTCCTGCATGTAGAATTGAAAGATAATGATAATGGCGATGTCGCAAGATGGATGTGAGAATGGACCACGCTGTGAACTACTGTCCGTGTTAAGGTGGCTACGCCCAACGTGCTCTAGCAAAGGCCCTTGTCCATGAGACACAGTACTGTTAAAATTCACCGAATTGTCGAACAACGATATTGACCACCCCGCGGTGAGTGATTCTTCTCGCCGACTCTTTACCCAGCCCACAGCTAGCAACTCTCGGGTTCAGGGGGGAGTATTTGTAGGGATTAGACAGGATCCCAGGGGCCAGCTGTTGGCGGAGCCACCCTTTTAGATATAGGGTCCAAAGCCCCTCCTGGCATGCTTCCTATAATACCAGGGAGGCCCTGGGAGGTAAACCTGGGCTTGGGAGTCAGTCAGTCCTGGGTTCAAACCTAGTTATATGTAACTAGTGAACTAGGGTGACACAGGGTGATTTTCAAACTTCTCTGAGCTTTAATTTTCTCACCTGTGGAATGAAGATAACTCGGGATTTTACAATGATTAAAATTAGATGTGTGACAATGAGATATTGTGAGAAATTAGTGAGTTAAATGAACTCAGGAAGCATTAACTATAGTATCCATCCTTGGTCCCTAAACAGCAAGTGAGACCTGTAATGGCCTGAGCACTATAGAGGTGCTGGACACGGGCCTGGTCATCAGTGGGAGAAAAGGACCAGTAACGGAGGTTTGCACACGGCGTGACGAGTGCTGTGACAGAAATAACAGGGGATGCTCAGGGACAAGCGGGGGAGGCACCTGTGGGGCAGCCCTGGCCAGGAGGGTGTCGGGAGCTGTCAGGGGGGCCTTCCTAGACGGAGGGGTTGCTGTGAAGAGGCCTGACAGTCGAGCAGGAGGTAAGCCGGGTGGACAGAGAGTGCACAGCGAGCGAGGGCACAGCTGAGAAGCCATGTCCCTTCGGGAAAGCGGACAGGGCTCCGACGGAACGAGGCCACCAAGGTCTGTGGGCGCCAGATGTGGGTGGGTGTCCGTGTGCTCTATGAAAGAATTTACGCTTTCTCTGGAGGGGACAGGGAGGCGCTGGCGGACGTGTCCCTCATCCAGAGGGCGTTTAAGCGGAGGGCGTCGAGTTGACAAGTGTCCCGACGTCGTGAACACGGGTTTGGGGCTTCACGATCCTAATCCCGGTTAAACCACGTGTGAGTGAATGACCCCGCCTCAGCGCCATCATTTCGGGGCCCGCCCGCGATAACGACCACCCACCCTTTAGGGTTACTTCGAGGACCAACTGGAATTCTGCATTTTAACAAACACCGGCTCCTTTTGCTTACCCTTTGTAGCTAAAATACGAAAGCCGGTGCCAGGCCTCTCTCCTCCCTTCCTTCCCTTTCCTCTGCCAGCAGCGTAAGCAGCAGCCGCGCGCCGGCGACGCGGAGGTCTCCAGGGCGACGATTAAAGCGCAGCCGCACGCCAGCCCGTGCGCCCGAGCGAGCGAGGCGGCGCATGCTCGGTGCGCCGTGC